AAAAAAAAAAAACAACAATATTAAAATTGGCTACAACAATTAGAGTCAATTATTCAACTTAACATTGTTCAAAATTTTTATTCATTAAGAAAAAAAAATGACAGAAGAAGAAGAAAGAAAAAAAAAGTTTTACTTAATTAGCTAAGAAATATCCTTGTTACACTTACCCTCAATTACTCCCCCTTTTTCTTTGCACTTCCGATTTCTAATTTTCAATGTAAAAAAAAACTTCAACTCATTCAAATTAGGCAAAAATTTCAATGCATACCATGAAAAATGTTAGCAAGAAAAGTTTTGCAATACAAAATGTCTCCCACTTACGTTGTCAAAATTTGTGTAGCTTTCTGCAAGGCGTAAACTGTTTTTTGCATCTTCAGTTTGTTCATTCAACTGTTCCAACTGGTGCTCAAGATCCATTACTTGCGATACAGTATCAATTAAGACCTAAACTTTTCAAAATTATAAAGGAACAAATTTTGACCATTAGGGCAAGTCTATTTTTTGCAGAAACATTTTTTGTGTAGTATGTTTAAAGTTTAAAAAAAAAGCGGCCAACAACAGTAAAAAATAACGATTATCAGACAACAACAATTTACTTGGTAGGCGTTTCGATCAGTTGGTAAGACCGGTACCAACTGCCGCAAACGTTCAAAAACTCGTGCTTCGCGTTCAGCAGATCGAAATGCTGGATTTGGTGGCGAAACATACGGTGAATTACAGTCCGAAAAGAATGGATCCGGACTAACAGATTCTGGATAGGAGCGAACACTATAGCTGGGCGACGGTTCCGAGTATTCGCTACATGTCGACAGTGAACTTGAACTATTTTTTCGTACTCGACCGGCTGGTATTGCGTAAGGATGACGACGACTTGCAGATAACAGACCAGTCGATGGTCGACGATTAAGTACCATATCGTTGACTGTTGATGGAATGTTCTGCAAAAAAGTAAGCAAATCAAAAACCTATTGATCCTAGTAATTCAGCCCTTATTATATATAAGAGCAAATAAAACCATTTTGATAGTCATTTAATAACAGGCTGGTTTTAAACCTAATTTTGAACAATTTTAAGCAAAACAAGTGAAAAAGAAAGAAAGTAAAAAAAAAAGAATAAAAAAATAAGTATAAAAGCTAGAAGTAAAGTACGAAGCGTTATTGTTCTTTTTTTGAACTTCATAGAAAGTACAAAGAATTGATGAATTCATAGAAATTATATCGCAGCATTCAACCATTATTGAAGGTAAAACCAATTATCCTACAATTTCTGTTCATTATTTGATAAATGGTGAAATATGAGATATTTATTTTTGCTAATTTATAGCATATGATAGCCCTGTCTTGCCGGTATTTTCTTCCGGTTGTTATTAGGGATAATTAATTACAGTAGTAAGCATTTCAATAACCTGATCGTTCCAGCCCAATAAGGACCGGGTTTTTTCCTGAATTGTTTCTCCGAGAAAAAGCCCACGGTTGTAGATTTTGGCGGACATAGTTGTTTTTTTGACCCTTTCTTCCTTCACTGGATACTATCTGCTTTGAAAAACAATAAAGTTGTTTAAAATTTTTTCCAATCTGCTTATCGCTGAGCGAACACGCTTTGATACAAACACCAAAAACAAAGTAACAACGAGTTGTAGAACAAGAGCAACAGTAGCGAAAAATCCAAGGACCTAAAGTGTGAAATGCTTGAAACCGACAACTGAGAAGGGCTCACTTTGGTAGTTAATTACAACAGAAGCAACAGGTCGCTACCAGATGCCACGGGGTTAATGATTACGAACTGTTTTTGACGGAAGAGAAGTAACCATCGAGCTCGATTGGGCTCGTTGTGCGGGTGCCAGGGAGAGCCAACCCCGAGTTGTTTCTGAAACAACCAAGTCCCACCCCTAACCTATCGAAGACGTGTTTTTCAAGCCACGCTAACCGGTCGTCGATGTCTGCCGGTCTCCACCGGCATCCAACGGTGTATCGTCGATGTCGTCAACTTCACAGCAGAACATTTCATCGCTGTATCGTCATATATTTTAATGTTTTTCTCATTGCTTTTAACACCAACAGAGATTCCTTTCCAACCCTGCAATTCCATTGATCTCTAAAAAATTCAATGGTATCCAAAGTGTTTTTTATTCCGTTGATGATGTGGGCCTTTACTGCATTTTTTTAACTGTGTCATCGTCTGCTGCAATTTTTGAAAACATTGCAAAAAAAATCTCTCTTTTTTTCGCTTTTGTAATTTTGTTCCATGGAAGAGCATGTCACAGCTGTCTCCAAGGTCATCAGTGCACTTTATGCAAACCGCGATTACTTCATCAAGCTTTTTAAAGAAAATTCCGGATTACGTCAGATTTTTTTGAGCGAAAATTTGTTGACTGGTCGTGAAACTAAACCATTAAAGTGTTAATTTGGATAGAAAAAAAAAAA